GTACGCATTTGTCAAAACTCATAGGGTGCTGCACTACAAAGAGGGAATTTTATTGTATATAAAGTGTATCTTAATTTTAAAATATTTAAAAAGAAAAAAATAAACGACTTAGTTTTCTGTTACCAACAAGACTGGTCCAACTCCTTACCTTTGGCAGAATTGTGCTTAATCCACATATCTTAACAGGTTGCCTATTTCAAAATACTCATGGAGAAGATGATTCTAAAAACCCAAATGGTGACATATAGTTATTCAGCATGAGTTTAAGAATTGGGGAGAGGCCAGATGTGGTGGCTCCCACTTGTAATCCAAGCACTTTTGGAGGCTGAAGGGGGAGGATTGTTTTAGCCCAACAGCTCAAAATCAGCCCTGGCAACATAGTGAGACTCCCTTGTCTACAAAAAATTTTAAAAATTAGCTAGGTATGATGGGGTGTGCCTGCAGTCGCAGTTACTAGGGAGGCTGAGGTAGGAGGATCACTTGAGTCTGAGAGGTTGCAGCTGCAGTGATCCATGGTCACACCACCACACTCCAGTCTGGGTAACAGAGCAAGATCCTGTCACCAAAAAAAAAAAAAGAAGAAGAAGAAGAAGAAGAATAGGGAAGAAATTCTGTGAAACAAATGAAAGTCATTTTTATCTATACTTTCAAAAACAAAAACACACACACACAAAGCTGAGTTTCCCAATATGGCTTTGAGGTCCAACATAGTCTGATGCAACGTATTAAGCCATTTGAAGAGGTAAGCTACTAAAATGGTTCAGGACAGACGACTATTCTAGATGAACAGTAATAAAGGAGCAAACAGGATTTTCTGAATCCTGTGTTGCCATGGGTCCTGACACTAAGCAGAATTCATCAACATTCAGGGTAAGGAAAAAGTAACTTCAAAGGTGGAACTAGGAGAGGAATGAGTAATAAATTTAGAATAAAAGAGAAAAGGTTAAAAGCACAAGTTTTATTTTACCATATAAGTTAGCACGCAAAATATACTATTTTATATGGAACTGAACACACAGTCATCTTGCTCATCTTCTGTCTCTGTCTGAATGTAAATTGCTCAGCCTATCCTCCTCCCCTCACTTGTTCCTATCTCCATCTCTCTTCACGAGAAATACGTGATTTTAGCCTCCCTGAGGCTACAGCGTCAGACTGAGGCAACTCTAGAATGACAAAGGCTTATTCAACTACAAATTGAATTCCAGTCTGGGGTGCCCATGAGGGTCCAAATTTGGACCCTGCACTTCACAAAGACAGTCCGAATTTCTTTTCTCTTTTTCTTTTTTTTTTTTAAATGGAGTCTCACTCTGTTGCCCAGGCTGGAGTGCAGTGGTGTGATCTTGGCTCACTGCAACCTCCACGTCCTGGGTTCAAGCGATTCTCCTGCCTTCAGCCTCCCTGAGTAGCTGCAACTACAGTTGTGTGCCACCACACCAGGCTAATTTTTGTATTTTTAGTAGAGACAAGATTTTGCAATGTTGGCCAGGCTGGTCTCGAACTCCTGACCTTATGATCCACCTGCCTTGGCCTCCCAAAGTGCTGGGATTACAAGTGTGAGCCACCGCCCCGGGCCGCCCGTCTGAGTTTCTGAGTCAAGTATGGAATTATTCTAATCTCCTTGATAGTCTCCTTGATAGTCATCCAAATGAAAACTGACCAGACTGTGCTAAGAGACAAGACCTATGGTGACTGGCATCCAGTATCCCTCACCACACTCAGCACAGATTTAAGAGTCAATGTAATACATGCTGAAGTAAGTAAGCATTTGTTTTAATGAATCCTAGAAAAATCTCTTTTCTGAAAACAGGCACTTGCCTCTTACAACAGCAATAATTTGGTAGATACAGTTTTTAAGGGCATGTATCTAGGCCTAGAGTACCTAAGATTATAATGCTAAGGATACCAAGATAGGTGCTAACAGTCAAACTTATTCAATAAATAAAAGAAAAAATTTAAAGTACTAGACCACATAGAATTATTAACAAATATTCCTGGCCTTACAATGTGTATATGCAAATGAAACAGAAATTCCTTTGTGAGCAAACAAGTGCTTTCAAGGGTTCTATAATCAGATTAGTACCTTGTTCATTAAGGACTCTAGGACAACACATGCATACACATCAAATCTTAATATAGTCACTGAAATTTAGTCTGCATCAGTTTCCAAGGCTTTCATCAGAGTTGGTCTAACCTTTGAGATACTTCTTATCCCAGTCTAATTCAAGTATTATTAATAGGCCCCCTGGAGCTTGTTATCTTTGACTCAAGCACCTCGTGGTCTCAGCAAAGGCTGCCAGGAAAGAAGGTCTCTAAGTCCAAAAGAAGCATCAAGGCACCACAAGCTGCAGTGCAAATCATCTACTGTGACATTGTAGGCGGAGAAAAACTGTCCCCCAGTATTATCTGGGGGCTTCTAACATGCCAAGACAATAATCCACAGTTGGTCAAGTGGCCATGGTCAAAAGAGAGAAAAGAAGCAATTATCCAGATAATTTATATCATGCTTATATAACAGATGGACATTTTAAATAAATAATTCAGATAATTATACCACTCACTCTGCATTTCACAGAAGGTTAATCTGTTGTAAAGTAGGTGGTTCAGCTATGGATAGCTCCAGTCTCACTTTTGAAAATAGTCTTTTACGTACCTTAGGAGTTCTCTAGGTCGATCATGCATGGTGGCTTATGCCTATAATCCCAGCACTTTGGGAGGCCAAGGCGGACAGATCATTCGAGGCCAGGAGTTTGAGACCAGCCTGGTCAACATGGTGAAATCCCATCTCTACTTAAAATACAAAAATTAGCTGGGCATGGTGGTGGGCACCTATATAGTTCCAGCTACTTGGGAGGCTGAGGCATGAGAATAGCTTGAACTTGGGAGGTGGAGGTTGCAGTGAGCCGAGACTGCACCATTGTACTCCAGCCTGGGAGACAGAGTGAGATTCTGTTTTGTTTTATTTTTTAAAAAAACAATAACAACAACAAAAACTTCTCCAAGTCATGGAAAAACATATTGTAACTCTTTGGAAACTGACTTGCAAAGTTCTGAAGCCAATAAAGGCCCGTTGTCTGGATTCAAAGATATAATTTCTCAACAGAAGACCTCAAATCTTTAAGCAGCTTAATTTTTACCTGAATTTGTCTAGAATTGAGTATACCTATTCAATTTAACTCCTTGTCAGCCCTATAAATTGAAAGGAACGCTTATATTGCACTTATAGATGTTAAAAAAATTAATAGCTGTCATCCCCTTCTTCTCTTATTTCAATAGATTACTAAGCTGAGCACAGTGGCTCACACCTATAATCCCAGTAGTTTGGGAGGCCAAGGCGGATGGATCCCCTGAGGTTGGGAGTTCGAGACCAGCCTGGCCATCATGGTGAAACATCATCTCTACTAAAAATACAAATACTATCTAGGTGTGGTGGCAGGCACCTGTAATCTCAGCTACTTGGGAGGCTGAGGCAGGAGAATCACTTGAACCCAGGAGGCGGAGGTTGCAGTGAGCCAAGATCTCGCCATTGCACTCCAGCCTGGGCAACAGAGCGAGACTCCGTCTCAAAAAAAAAGAAAAAGAAAAACAAGAATTCACCTTCCCAAATAGTTCAGAAATGCAAAGTTTAAAATTTAATGTGGTTTTCTTAGCTTTTATCTCATTTTACATTCAGCTCCTTATTAAGTGGGATATAGATCTCTGGGATGTAAATCTGAAAAATCCATGCCTATGGGTCACTTCTTTACTTTCTAACTTTGCACAAATAATTTTCCTGAGCTTCAGTTTCCTCATCTGTAAAATGAGAATAACAACACTACCTGCCAAACAGCAAAGCACTCTGCAAATATTGGTTACTACCTTAGATGGGGAAATATTATGAGGAGGAAAAAAAAATGGGTACAAATTAGGGTGAAAAAGTTTCTTCTACCTGAAAGAGAAGGGTTGCAAACATAGAAGTAACTTTAAGCTATTGACTAAATATATTTAGGGAAGTGGTCTGACATAAAGTTGAGTTATTATTTAGAAGTGGATTCTCATGCCAACACATTCACTTTGCACAGACGGCAGAAGAAGAAAAAGACAAAAGATTAAGAGTGGGTGTCCGGCTCTCAGCTCACCAAAATAACTGATGAAGTTCCATTTGAGGCGAGAGGGTGTAGTTAGTCATGGCAGTCAGTAGATAGAGAATATTGCTGCATTAGGTGATGAACTAAAGGTGTCGTTACCAAGCACAGATTATCCACAATCCATATAGTATAGCTACGTATAGGGCATGGGATTTCTATAGAGCGCTTTAGAAAAAAAAAAATAGAAAAATAGAAAAGCTATTCCATAAGTGTCAAACAGACAGAAGTAATTCAATAACTTAGTTCTCCACAGGAAGCTCTCGGGGAGGTAGCATTGCTGAGAAGAAAGTTAAGATACCTATAACAACGAGGTCGGGGGTGTTCTAGGAGCTATAGCCTAGAGGCGACACAAACTGTTTTTAAGTACTACAAATCAACAAAACAAGAGGTGTGGTTTCAGACCTGCTTGTCTTTACCCAGTATAGGGCTTTACTCTTTAAGTGATCTAAGATATTCTATAATGGGGACACACAACAACTGAATTTTCTGAAAGGGCATCAGACAAATGACACTGTGCCTATGAGTGACACGGCGTGCAGGCACGCCAACCAGACATAAGTGAAGATAACTAATCTATAGGGATACGACCAGGGACAAAAATCACCAGTAACCATGACAACACAAGTAGATGGAGGGAAACACAAACACTGACCAAGCAGCGGGTGACACTATTCCTTCAGGTAGAGAGATCCTGGGGTCAGAAAAATACTTGATTAGTGGAGGAAGCTGGCCAAGAATGAAACCGATTAGCCCAAAAGGGCAGTGTCCATGCAGAAGGACTCGGCGGCAACACTGATACTCCCCATGGGGCGGCTCGCAGGGTCAAAGGCACATCTGTAGGAGACTGGACGCCTCTAAGACCGCGAAAGGAGTTACCTGGTGCAGGGCTGTCAAGCCGTCCACGTTGACTGTGTTGATATCAGCACCTCTTGCCAGAAGCTTTCTCACCTCGTCGGTGTCCCCGCTAGAGCAGGCGGCCAGGAAGACAGCACCGTCCTCGAAGCGGACCCTGGGGCTCCCGCGCCTGGTCAGCGGCTGCCGCCCCGCGCCTCGTCGCTCCGCGGGCTCCTGCTCTGTCAGCGAGCCCCGCCAGCGCCGAAGCTGCTCTGCCCGCCGCATTCGCGCAGACTCTGCCCGCTTCCCTCCTAGGTGCTCCAGCTCCGCCATTGCTCCGGCCTCGGCAGCTGCTGCCAAAACTACCAACACTAAATTACTGTTGGGGCTCGGGTTGCCGCTGCCGCCTGCCTCAGAACGCTTCAGCCGGGAGCAGAGGGCGGAGACCCTCGCACCGCCATCTTTACTCCTCCCGCCACTAGCACCGCCCGCACGCTCCTTCGGCTTCGATACGCAGCCGCTGCCCGGCCTCGGATCATCACGGGACTCGTAGTAAGAGGCCTGCCCTAAGTGCACTTGGTGGCCGTAAGGGAACTACAAATCCCTGGATGCATCAGAAAAAAGGCGAGGACCGGCGGGTCTGTCGCCACGGGACCCAGTGAGGTCACCTTTGCCCTAAAGCTGGAACTGTCTCCTGGACTGGCGTCAACCTCTTCCTCTGGGCATTTTGGGAGTCGTAGTTTATTCTTGTTATGACTGGTAACTAATCTTAGCTCCCTAATTATCACATCAATTCTTTGGAGTGGAAGAGACGCGGTAATTATTCCTATTTTCTGGAGGGGAGAACTAAACATTATGTACCTAAACGACTGGATTCTATATCCTAGTTCTAAGTCTAGGGTTTTATTAACATGTGTATTAATCACAGTAAATGTGAATGTGCGTGGGGAGGAGGAGCAGTATTACATGTTTTACATAAATACTGTCAACTTACTCCAGGCCCAGAAAAGATCTTGAAAATGATGCATTCAGATGTAGTGAGAAGAGTTTAAGCTGTGAATATAAATTGAATTCACAGCCGTAGACAAATTACTTGACTTCTCTGAGCCAGTTTTCTTATGTGTAAAATGGGAATAATATCTCACAGGGTAGTCGTGTGGATCAAATAAAATAATACATGCAAGGATGCCTAATACTATCTTTGGCACATATTGCATCCCAATAAATAATTTCTCTCCCTTCTCCCTCCTCCTCCTCCTCTACTCTTTTCATATATCTTAAATTTTTACAAGACAGAATAGATGTCTTCCATGATTTTTATTTCTTTTCTTTTGACACAGAGTCTCACTCTGTCACCCAGGCTGAGTGCAGTGGCACAATCACGGCTCACTGCAGACTCAACCTCCTGGGCTCAAGTGATTCTCCCACCTCAGCCTCCCAAGTAGCTAGGACTACAGGTGCCCACCACCACACCTGCTATTTTTTTTATTTTTTTATAGAGACAAGGTCTCACCATGTTGCCCAGGCTTGTCTGGAACTCCTAGACACAAGCGATCCTCCTGCCTCAGCTTCCCAAAGTGTTGGGATTACAGCCCTAAGCCACTGTACCTGGCCCATGATTTTTTTTTTCAAAGCTAGAGAAAGATACTATCAAGCATACTAAACCATACTAAATTCCTAAGGTAGCAAATAGGACATTCTTATATTCCCCAAGACTGGGTTAAAAAACATATATCTGTCTGATTGTTTTGTTCTGTTTTGTTTGAGACAGGGTCTCGCTCTGTCACCTATGGCATGGTCATGGATCAGTGTAGCCTCAACCTCCCAGGCTCAAGCAATCCTCCCACCTCAGCTCCGCAAGTAGCTGGGACTACAGGCCTGGGTCACTATGCCTGGCTAACTTTTGTATTTTTTGTAGAGACAGGGTTTTGCCATGTTGCCCAGGCTAGTCTTGAGCTCCTGGGCTCAAGTGATCCACCCACCTCGGTCTCCCAAAGTGTTAGTATTATAGGCATGAGCCACCGCATCCGGCCAGTCCGATTGATTTAATAATTATAACCTCCAGTGCTCTAGCCCTGAACAAAATATAATTAAATGTGTTACCCATAATGAAGGAGTACATATGCAAATGTTAGATTCTTTAAACATTTCTGTATGTTTAAAATTTTTCATTTAAAAATGTTGCAAAATGATCGGGGTATCGTAAAGGGAAACTTTATTATATTCTGTCATGTGAAAATTTGCCTGTTCCTAAATTCCCCCTGAAATGAAGTGGAAATCATACATTAAGGAAATAATTAGTTATTGAATTGAAAACCTTAAATGAAAAGTGACATATAAATGTAAAAATTATTATGTTTAATAATACTGTGTCTACCCACCATATGCTTTAGTAGGGTATTCTTAAATACATTATAAATACTAATTAAACCTTATGTCAAATCTGTGAACTATGAATAACAATGTACCTAAGGAAAATCAAGGTATAATAATGTATACATTATGTAACCTGATTTTCCTTGCTACATACATTTATTTATGGCCATCATAGAACTTGTCATGTCTCATCATTTATTGCAATTAAAAATTTTTGGCCAGACGTGATGGCTCACGCTTGTAATCCCAGCACTTCAGAAGGCCAAGACAGGCAGATCACTTAAGGTCAGGAGTTCGAGACCAGCTTGGCTAACATGGTGAAACCCCATCTCTACTAAAAATACAAAAAGTAGCTGGGCATAGTGGCAGGTGCCTGTAATCCCAACTACTCAGGAGGCTGAGGCAGGAAAATCGCTTGAACCTGGGAGACGGAGGTTGCAGTGAGCCAAGATTACACCACTGTACTCCAGCCTGGGTGACAGAGCAAGACTGTCTCAAAAAAAAAAAAAAAAAAATTATTCATGAGATTTACTTTGTAACATATCACAGTGGGACCTCCTCTTATTCCAATTCAGCCTCTTGCTGATAATTTGTATTGCCCTTAAGCACCCAAATAGAACTCTCACTAAAGGATAAAAGAAAAATTGATATTAAATCAAATAGGTAGGAATACTCAGCTAGAAGCCTAATCCTATTCACAGTCCTCATGCATCATTTCAATATTATGTTCCTGGTATATGATAGCTGCTCCTATATGTATATAACTTTATGTTTTACTGGCATACTGGTCTTCTAATAAGGATTTTTGAATTGGAGTACATTTTTCAGGGATCAATAATGATGATTCTTTTGGCTGCATTCTTTTTGTATTCAGAATTAGGAGGCAAAAAATATCTAGTTCCAGTTGTTTAAATAAGCTAAAATTGACCCACTCCAGGTTAAATCCTTACTTTCCCAAGAGATATGAACTAAAATTTCTTTCTTTTTTGGAGACAATTGGTACCAACATAACTCACTGCAGGCTCGAACTCCTGAGCTCAAGCAATTCTCCTCCTACTTCCTGAGTAGCTGGGACTATAGGCACATAAAATAAAATTATTTTATTTTATTTTTAAGCAGAGATGGGTCTCGCTATTTTGCCCAGGCTGGTCTTGAACTCCTGGCCTCAAGCAGTCTTCCCACCTCAGCCTCCCAAAGTACTGAGATTTTAGGTGTGAGCCACCATGCCCAGCCTGAGCTTAAATTTCAACAAGAATTCAGTCTCTTTTTCTTTTTTTTTAAACGGAGACTCCAGGCTGGAGTGCAATGGCACAATCTCAGCTCACTGCAACCTCTGCCTCCCGGGTTCAAGCGATTCTCCTTGAGAAGCTGGGACTATAGACGCCCACCACCATGCCTGGCTAATTTTTGTATTTTTAGTAGAGACAGGGCTTCACCATATTGGCCAAGCTCTTGACCTTGTGATCCACCTGCCTCAGCCTACCAAAGTGTTGGGATTACAGGCATGAGCCACCACGCCAGGCCAAGAATTCAGTCTCAATATAAGGAAGTTCCAGGAAGTCAGAAGTACTTCCTTACCATACCTATTTTATTTGCTTCTTTTCTTTTCTTTTTTTCCTGTGGAAGTAAGTGTGTAATACCTTCTTTGGAGATTTTACAGAAAAGTGTAAGTAGCTAAATTCCTTGGATAGTTTAAGTGCATACCTACTTGGAGAGAAAGAAATATAGCTTCTGGCTGTATTATTATTGAGAGTAGTAATAATTATTATAATCTAATTAATTTTACAGGCTCGGCCAAAAAAGATGCCATGAAAACATTCATCTACCTATAATGACTTAAAAAGATTTTCACATCAAAATCCTATTTTTTCTAAAACATCTTTCCCAACCAGGGCTTTCTGAGAATAACTTACACAATCAGCTCATTAAACAAGTATGGTAATTTAAATTTCCTAAATAAGTACTCCATTCTTTTATTATTTATTTTTTATTTTTGAGACAGGGTCTGACTCTGGATTTGCAGTGGTGCAATCACAGCTCACTGCAGCCTCAACCTCCTGGGCTCAAGCAATCCTCTTACCTCGGCCTCCCAAGTAGCTGGGACTACAGGCATGCACCACCATGCCTGGGTAAGTTTTGCATTTTTTGGTAGAGATGGGGTTTTGCCATGTTACCCAGGCTGGTCTCAAACTCCTGGGATCAAGCGATCTGCCCACCGAGGTCTCAAAAAAATAAAAAATAGGCCAGGAGCAGTGACTCACGCCTGTAATCCCAGCACTTTGGGAGGCCGAGGCGGGCAGATCACAAGGTCAGGAGATCGAGACCATCCTGGCTAACACGGTGAAACCCCATCTCTACTAAAAATACAAAAAATTGGCCGGGCGCAGTGGCTCAAGCCTGTAATCCCAGCACTTTGGGAGGCCGAGACGGGCGGTTCACGAGGTCAGGAGATCGAGACCATCCTGGCTAACACAGTGAAACCCCGTCTCTACTAAAAAATAATAAAAAAAAAAAAACTAGCCGAGTTTTTTTTTTGTTTTGTTTTGTTTTTTTTTTTTTTTTTTTTTTGAGACGGAGTCTCGCTCTGTCGCCCAGGGTGGAGTGCAGTGGCGCAATCTCGGCTCACTGCAAGCTCCGCCTCCCGGGTTCACGCCATTCTCCTGCCTCAGCCTCCCGAGTAGCTGGGACTACAGGCGCCCGCCACTGTGCCCGGCTAATTTTTTCTATTTTTAGTAGAGACGGGGTTTCACCATGGTCTCGATCTCCTGACCTTGTGATCCGCCCGCCTCGGCCTCCCAAAGTGCTGGGATTACAGGCGTGAGCCACCGCGCCCGGCTAGCCGAGTTTTTTTAGGCGAGGTGGCAGGCTCCTGTAGTCCCAGCTACTCCGGAGGCTGAGGCAGGAGAATGGCGTAAACCCGGGAGGCGGAGCTTGCAGTGAGCTGAGATCCGGCCACTGCACTCCAGCCTGGGCGACAGAGAGAGACTCCGCCTCAAAAAACAAAAAAAAATACAAAAAATACAAAAAATTAGCCGGGCAAGGTGGTGGGTGACTGTAGTCCCAGCTACTCAGGAGGCTGAGGCAGGACAATGGCGTGAACCCAGGAGGC